GGCGGCCGCGGCCAAGGCGCCGGTGGCCGCGGCCTGGCTGAGGCCCAGCCCTAAGGTGTTGAGGTTGTATCCGTAGCTGGCTAAAGTGTTGAGTGCAGAGGTGATGGCCACCAGGTCGTTCCCGGTGAAGCCGGACAAAACCGCCGGGAAGGCCGCGACCCCGGCCAGGTTCGCGTGTCCGAGGAGCCCCGCGGCCGCGGCGGCGGTGGGCAACACTTCGGCGGTGTTGGCGTAGGGGGACCCCGTGGGGTTGGAGTTGGCCACGGGCCCCGTGACGTTCGCGTAACTGATATTGAGGCAGCTGCCGCTTTGGGGGTCCTCCTGGATCTTTTGGATGATGAGTTCCACAGCTTTCCGGTTCTGCTCGGGCTCCCCGCTCACTGTCACTACCCGCTCCTGCAGGTTTATCCCGTCAGGTTTCTGGGACAGCTGCACCCAAGCACCTGACTGCTCCATGATGGCTTTCACTGTCGCGCCACCCTTCCCAATAATGAGGCCCGCTGTGCTGTTGGGCACTATTATCTTGACCTGTGAAAGAGGGGAAAGAGAAGAGGGGGGAAAAAAAAAGAAAAAAAATCCTAATAAATGAATTCTGATTCAGCCACAAAAAAAAAGAAGAAGAAAAACAGACGCCTCTGCCAAATCTGAGAACCAGAATCCTCCAGTATACAAGTATATTAATGCCAAATCTTTTTCAAATGCGTTGGCCACAACAGGGTGTCGACTCAATATACCCCCTTTTCATTTCTAATTAACTCATGCACGCTTCAAAATACTGCTTTCTGGAGCTCCTCTTATTACTGCTCGAGTACAGTACAAATCTCTTCACACAATTAAAGAAACAAAAAGTATGTGCAAACTCTAATCACCAGCTGCCATGGACTAAATGTGATAAATACAGCTTGTCACAAGCTGCTGTCTGTGGTATTCAACCTCAAGGCCGCAATACCATACGACACACCTAGGGGTCTACACACAAGCAGAAGATGGTGCATTACATCGAGCAAAGAAGAGCACCACATCTTTCAGCAAGTCTTTTCCTTTAAAGATGATCACCTACAGCTTCAAGCGCTGCTTCCAAGGCAAGCAAAGCCAGTGTCAACTTTAAAAACGAAATATGCCACTTTCCTTTTGATTATTTTGCATCTCAGAGAAAACCTATTTGGATCTTAAAATGTGTGTGTAAAGATGTTCCACAAGCCTGCAAAGGTACTAGCTTTTATCTGCCTTCCCCCCACACAGTAATCTTGCTGAATTACTCGACCATGACTGTGCAATTTATTTGAGGAAAATAGAATTTGCTTTTATGTTTAACAAGAAAAACTCGTAACATAATATGCATCTGATGCAAAGCAAAGGGAAACTTTGAACAGGTTGACTGCATTACTATCAAGTAAATGGCACATAAAAATTCATTACATATTCCTGTATTTCTATGTAGATTGGCATGCTGCTTTGCAGTCGTGAAAAACTAAATCTGTCATCCGAGGAGGCTTGTATGCACAAAAAATACAGATTTATGGTTTATGGTTTAAACCTAGCAAACACAAAAAAGAGGGGCACTGAAACAAGGATTTGCCCAGAAACATTTCCCTATCATTGGTTAGTTAGCTATTCTTATTATGGCACATGTCGAACTCCTGAAAGGAAACGGTGTGACAGAAGCAAGCTAAATCCCTTCTCCAACTGCATGGAAAAACTTGGGAAATAACATTTAATTTTCCGTGTTCAGTGGTGTAGTCTACATTTGTCTCCGATTTCTACAGATTTTAACAGTTTAAGTTATTGATTACCTTAGGACTTACCAACCCAAAGCTAAAAAAAAACCTAAGGACTCATAAAGACAAAGTCATAAAGACCAGATTTGATAGAACTGCCTTCTATTCATGGTTTGAATTAACAATAAATCCCAAACCAGCATAAGTAAGTGGAAACTACGCGGAAGGAGCTTTTTCATAAAGAATCCAAAGGGTAAATGAGTACTTAGCTGGATTACTTTTTAGTGCACTTCATTATCACTTTTTAATCTCCTTTTAAAATATATGTATTTTTAGAATTAAACAATAGAAATTACAGCATTTCATCTTATTCAAAATACTGCTTTTATTTTTCTTCAGAAATACAAAATTATAAAAATACTATACAAAGCTGAAACAGTCAAACAAATAGCAAGACATTTTACACTTCAGCACAGTGCTGCAAATATTTCATTCCAGCCAAGCCGAAAAGCCGGTAACAAGTGGAAACAATGTTTTGCACTGAAAGATGCAGAGAGAAGGCTGTTTTAGCTAAAATCACAGCAAGACACTTTGGGATCAATGGAATACATACAGTATATACACCATTAAAAACAGGCTACAAGCTTCATAAACATATTTGTGTAAATAACCAAATAGGTATTGATCACTTTAATTGATCACTATTATAAAGCATTATTCCTGATATACAAACATTTAATTTCACTTTAACTGCCTTGAAATGAAGTTATTTCTGTACAACCTCATGGTGTACAAAGTATTTCAACTAAATCTTAATGAGAAGATACTGTAAATACCAAATAACTTCCAAGAATAAAACTATTTGGATAATTTATTCATATGCAGTGGGATATTCATATGATACCGGGCTTTTCTCAAGCACTACGAGGGATACGGTAGAATGCATTTGGGCAGGAAGCTCCCTATGGCTTCTACATTGTGTTAATGAACTTGAACCCATACTGCTTTTAAGTCTAATAATAATAAGTAATAATATAAACCCTCTGGACAGATACCTTCCAAGTGCATTAACGGACAAAACAGGGTTAATAACATTAGCAGAGGTTAATAACTGTAAAAATAAGAGAAAATTAAGCTATACTAAGCCCCCCAGAGGAGCTCACATAATATCCCACTAAGCTTTTCAGTTCTGCAGATATCAATTAGTAATCAGCTTCTTAAAACCTGTTTAAATCTCCTTAAACTGGTCATTGAAGGAATAGAAATCAGACTGATGTTAACCTTTCAATCCTCTCCCAGATGCCGTTTGCTTTGGTGATATTCTCTTATGCTGGGGTAAACTGAAATGGGTGTGTAAAAGCCTGATTTATATTGAACAAATAAAAATGACATTGTGCATGAATTGCTTTATGCATCCCAGTCGCATTTCCGTGACATCAACACATAGATTCAGTTGTAGCATCAGATGGTCAAAACTTTTCTAGGTATATTTGCAAATCGCAGGAAAATGTGAGAACCCAAGTGAAACACAATCGATACGCTATAATGTCTGTGGAGGCCAACAGAATGCCATTTAATTTTCTCAAGGAATAAAAAGCAATTCAGGCTATTGTGATCGCATCACAGAGCCTGTCAACAAGACAATGAGCATGCTATGAAATACAGCATCTTCTCCTCATTTTACAAAGAGTTAGTCAACATAATACACTTTGACGCATTCTCTTTCTGTTTAAGGGTTCCACAGATTTATTACAAAACAGAAGCAACCAAAGCCATTTTTAATTGATAGGCCAAACACTGTGTTCCCTCATACGGAACACAACATTTAAAGTAAGCATTTGCTAAATTGAAGATGGCAGTTTTATAAACTCTTATCGCTACTTAATAGGATTGGTTTTCCAACATGAATTTCTGAAATCTCATTTAAATGAAATGATTTCAATAGTGAAACCTCTGTGGATCATTTGATTAAATCAAATATTTAGTTTGGTTACATCGTGAAAATTAAACTCTTGTATTTATGAATTTTCCACAGTATACACCCTGTGAGGATTGAAAAAAATTAAATTCCAGCAATGACAAACTAAATGAAATGCCAATCAGAGAAATGATGCACATGGCGCTTACTTACAAGTGTGGATTTTCCTTAAATATTCCATTTTAAATATTTTTAATGCACCTGGGTTGACAATTAACAAATCCAAATATCATGATTCAGCTCACATTTTAAAATAACAACAGATGTTTGATCATCCATTGTGATAACTGGATAACGTTAGTTTAGGTGTGCTCACGTGGTACTGATATTCCGTCACAAAGGGGTTTTCTAAGTAAAACAGTATATACTGTATGCATAGCATTATCATCTTATTTACTAGTGCAGCTCACAATTTCGAAGGGTTCAAAAGTCAACATGTTAGATGCCAATACTGTTACATCAATGGATGACTGATCTGAACATCTCAATTGACCTCAATCGATTTTAGAACATGAAAATCAATTCAAACTTGCACCTCATGATTCTGCTAGGCTGGTAATTACTTATGGTCAGTCAGCTCATACAATATGACAAACTGTTGTTTGTCCCTTACAGTTATAAAGGCACCAGTCCAACTTCATATGCTTCGTGCTGTGCATGTGGAAATATGAAAATCACTGAAAAAACTGGATTGACCTTAATTACATTTATCAGTGTCAGGTTGGACTTCTTTGAATTGGACGGACCTCGCTCTTCAAAAGCCTGACAAAGAAATCCTCTGGATCTACCAGACTCTCATGCCCTGAGAACCAAATGAAATGAATGACAGAGCAGAAGTTTTTTCCTGTTTGACTGTAATGCATTTCTCCAAATACGGAGAATGAAATGCTGCCACTCGAAGGAAGAGTCTGTTTCGACAGGGAGACCATTCCAGATTTAGACTGTTAGGGATGCCCTAGATTGCTATTGCAGAAAAAAGATATGAAGAATCGAAGCAGATAGTTCTGAATAAACCAAGGTGATCTTTCAGACCATTTTTTAAAGCCTAACAACAGAGAGCCGAAGCTCCTGCAGAAGATTAAGATGTGCTCTGCACACAGAAGTGTTTCAACCTCAACGTCAATACCAATGGGCTCCAAAGTGCAGACAAGAATGTGGCCCTGTCTTCCCACTATTAAGGTGTTGCGTCCAACGAAAGGAGACACGTTCTGGGTGTGTATGAAGCAGGCATTTCCTTTATTACGTATGTATACAGGAGCCAAAGCCAATGAAGCACTGACTCAACTCACTGATACAAAAGGACGCTTTTTATACAAAATCGCGAACAGCAAACCCACCCAGAACAGTTCCAGTACAATTCTATGCCATATATGGTGTAGAGCCAAGGCTGCTAGCCTTCGTACGTGATAAACTAATAACTGTAAGAACATTTTTGGGTCCCTTTAATCATTATTTAAGCAGACATTACGTACTTCTAGATTTTGTTAACCATGCCTTAAGCAGATATCAGGCACTCTCAGTTCTGGTTAGGCTACCCGAGGCTTGAGAAATAAATCACACAAATTTACTAGCTCTGTATACCCAATGTGAATCTACAGTATGTTTGTGTTTTGAGTAGCTTGTAATTATTAAACTAGTAACATTTGACCGCTGGCATGGTGGCGCACTGGTTATGATTACTGCTTGCAGCGGAAAGGCCCTGGACTCAGTTTCGGTCCTGGGGTACTATCTGGGTGGAGTTTGCATGTTCTCCCCCTGTTTCCATGGGTTTCCACCAGGTGCTCCGGTTCCCACTTACAATCCCAAGACAAGATTACATGTTAAATGTGTGA